GTGGTGTTTTGTGAAATGCTGTTGTGTTTTGTGAAATGCTGTGGTGTTTTGTGAAATGCTGTGGTGTTTTGTGAAATGCTGTAGTGTTTTGTGAAATGCTGTGGTGTTTTGTGAAATGCTGTGGTGTTTTGTGAAATGCTGTAGTGTTTTGTGAAATGCTGTAGTGTTTTGTGAAATGCTGTAGTGTTTTGTGAAATGCTGTTGTGTTTTGTGAAATGCTGTGGCGTTTTGTGAAATGCTGTGGCGTTTTGTGAAATGCTGTGGTGTTTTCTGAAATGCTGTAGTGTTTTGTGAAATGCTGTTGTGTTTTGTGAAATGCTGTGGTGTTTTGTGAAATGCTGTAGTGTTTTGTGAAATGCTGTAGTGTTTTGTGAAATGCTGTTGTGTTTTGTGAAATGCTGTGGTGTTTTGTGAAATGCTGTTGTGTTTTGTGAAATGCTGTTGTGTTTTGTGAAATGCTGTGGCGTTTTGTGAAATGCTGTGGCGTTTTGTGAAATGCTGTGGTGTTTTGTGAAATGCTGTAGCGTTTTGTGAAATGCTGTGGCGTTTTGTGAAATGCTGTAGTGTTTTGTGAAATGCTGTGGCGTTTTGTGAAATGCTGTGGTGTTTTGTGAAATGCTGTGGTGTTTTCTGAAATGCTGTTGTGTTTTCTGAAATGCTGTGGCGTTTTCTGAAATGCTGTGGTGTTTTGTGAAATGCTGTTGTGTTTTCTGAAATGCTGTAGTGTCTTGCACTTCAGGGCCACCGTAGCAATGAGAGGAATCGGTTGTTCGAAGAAAAAAAAATGTAGGATTATTTTTTTATTTTATCTAAAATAAAATAGAAATAAAAAATGTTTACAACAAAAACCAACATATATATAAAACAATAGGTACAAAGACAACATCACAAATGACTCTCAAAATAATTAGGCAATTAAATGAATAAATACAAATGTGTGCAGTATATCAGAATTTAAAGTGGAAAAGGTGTGCCGTTTAAATTCATTTTTCCGCCATTCCATCTAGACGTAATTCCCCATGGACTTTTCATACTTTTTTTTAAATGTCACATTGACATACTGTAGGTATTTCTACCCTTTGCTATGACGCTTATATTTAGCTCAGGTGCCACCCATCTATCTTTGACCCTCACCTGTCTTTTTAAGGTCACATAAAAGCTTCTCACGTTCTAAAGTATTGCTCTCTTTACTTTATTGTTCCAACAGCTAGCAGAAAGTGTGGAAGCCGGACTTCCAGCTCTCGAAGAATCAGAAGGACAAGCTGCAGAAAATCCCGTTCAAGCCACCGACTGATTTCATGTTTTATAGAAGTATTAATTTGATGTTTTGGTATTCAAGAAAGTGACCTGGCTTGCTTGATTTAGGACATTAGATTATTGTCACAGATTATTGATTGTCCCCAAAACCCTTTTTTCTACAATTCCTGATTTCTAAATAAATATACTGACTTAAAAAAACAATGACATTGTTGCCATTGTAGAGATATTATGTGACAAAATGTTTTGTGATTTAAATATTTTTGTTATTATTACCATATGTGTAGAATGGGTTAATATTCTGCCAAATGCAATGTATCTAAATATAAATAAAACCAAATATAAATGTATAAGGATTCTTTATTTTGCTTGTTATTCAATTTATTTCCTGCTTCCTAATTTGATTGATTACAACTTGTCTGTCGATAAATTGATAACATTCAATGTTAAGTCTTGTTAATATCAGTGAATATACAAATAACCTAAACATATATACTTTTGTATATGATATAAAACACAAAAAGCAGGGAATCTCCTTATTTGAGAGGCGGACATTTGCATTTGCTGCCAAACTTGCATGAACTTGGTCTTGTTGGTCGTTTGCGTTACTGTTTAGTGTCATATAGACCGTTAGGCCACACGAGGACGACCGAATACGGCACTAAACGACTGCGTAAACGATAACGGGTGGATAGAACGGCATACGCAACGCTCTGGGGGGTCCAACGACTCCGTGTGTACGCCCTATACGATCATTTTCTGATAATGATGAGGCAATAGCCCCGCCTCTCCCCACCTCTGCTGCTCACCCCCGCGTCAAAGTAAACTGCACACTGAATTCAGATTATTTATCTTTCTCTCGATATGGACCTAAACGCGAGTGAAGTCTAATCTGACAGGACGGAGACACGCAGCTCTGCTTACCTGCAGCTCCTCCCGCTGTGATGCGGCGGTGAACGGAGTAAAACACAAATTTCAAGTCAGATCATCACCCTTAGCTATTTTAATTACCTCTCAAACTACCTAAACTAGATATAAATATGTTTATTTTGACTGTTGGCCGGGTCACTTATTACTGGATCAGCTGCTGCATGAAACAGACACTGGCGCTGTCCGAAGAGAGGGAGGAAAAAGAGAGGCTCCGTGTATTTTATTATTATAATATATAGATTCGTTATTCATTTGTTTTAAAGCTCAATAAATAACAAAGAAGACCTTTGACCGGCACTTTTATAATTTTGTCGGAAGATTTAAACTGTAATACACGTTGACTGGCGAAAAACTCTGCCCGGTTCCCTCGGCCCCCACCGCGGAGAATAAACAGAAGGGCAACCATGACAACCATGCTTCTTCACTGCTTTTGTGGAGGAAGTTATACAGCGCCACGTACAGGCTCCTGCATATGTACTGCAGCTTCTCCAGCGGTTGGAGCTAAACGGAGCTGTCTCGTGTGGACAGACACTATCCGGATGACTATTGCGTGTGGACGGAAGCTTTTTTGCGATTGCGTTTGCGTTAATCCTATGCGTTTAGCCGTTTTCGTCCTCGTGTGGCCGGGTGGTTTCAGCCATATTTTAACAGGAAATCGGTTTCTTTTTTAAAGTTTGCTTATTTTTGTTAACTGGGACAGGCATTTAAGACTGCACCAGGTAAAGAGTAATGAAAAGTTGGCTGCCTTTCTTGAGTATTATCAAACACAGGCGAGTAGAAGCTTAGCAAACGTAACACTACAACAGCTCAAGCAAGTTTACAGTAGTTTAAAATACATTGTGTTTTTCATAACCAATAATATAAAGTTTAACGATGATTGTTGGCAACTTGACGATTTGTTGATCAACAAGACCAATTTATCTGAATTAGATAATGGCTCATGGAAGCACTGTTTGCCTGGTCTCTGTAATGGAACAAGGGATCAAGAAACAAGTCAGTGGAGGCCGGAGTTTCAGACAAAGCACAAACCAACAGACTTCTACAATATAGCATTTGATTTTAGATATACCTTATATACAATTCACAATGTGTATATTCTTGTTTACATGCTTACCTACCTTCCCCATAGAATGTGGACGGGGATGGGAGGGTGACTATAAACATGTATGTTATTCTAATTACTTATATTATAGTAATCTAATACAAATGTAACTATAAAAAAGTAATGTTACCTAATAACTTTCTGTTACTTTTGGATCACCTCAATATCAAATGCAATGTCAATGTATCTTTTACAAATGCTGTTTTAGTTTAGGGCATGACATATAAGCAAACACAGTTTTTTTGTTTAATAAATCAGGTGTATATAAGAAGATATAAAAAAGCGTAGGCAATATGCCAACCTATGCCAAGTATTGGACAAAATAATACTATTAGTGTGTTTGTGTGCATGTGATTTTAAAATGCATTGTCACATTGACATCCTGCTAGCAATCCCCATTTTTCCAAAATGTACCAGTAATGAGATTACGCCTTCTTTTTAATCTAACTGTAAAGGAATACAGGTGCCTTTTATTTCAATCCTAATCCAGAGCATGCATGTGAACGCTAACAGGCCACACTATTCCTTCTGTTGCATGTGAAAAATAATTGTGTTGTGTAAACATTCTTACAGCTTGAGAGCAAATAGCAGTGCAGATGGTAAATAGGACTGCATCTGGATAAAGAAAGGGAAGGAACCAGCCAACTGCAAAAGCCCTTGTAGTATATGGTCTGGAGACAGAGATTAATACATGTGCTGTGAATGATTAAGTGGACGCCCCAGATAAACTCCTTTCATGGACAGTAATCTGTGAATGCCAGTTATATAGTGTTCGTGTTGACGTCATTTTTGAAAAAAATGTCCTCCCTTCAATTTACCGAAATGTTCTGTCAATTTGTCAGAGACGAATCACATTTACTGAACATTTTGTCTTAATGGCCACAATGTAAAAGACATTGAGAGGATTTCAACATTTTAATGTGTAGGCTACATAATGAAAATGTTTAATGTATAACTTTATATTATAGGGTTTGATCACATACATAATTGACGGACATGACTGAAAAAGTAATGCAAACTATATAAAGGAGTTATGGTCGTCCGGAGTACATTATTTTAAAACCTGCTGACAAGGCTTATTGTTGCCTAATTGTTCAATATACAATTGTTTTGCTTTATTGGTTATTTATTCAACTTCTAATTTTGCATACCTGTAGTAACTGACTTTTGTGGCGATTTAGGGGCAGCAGAAACATGTTGTCATGACAACATTTGAGGATCATCACCTTCAAACATGATTTGAGTAACTTAAATATGCTAATGTGCAGAATGAACCATAACCAATCATAGCTTGAATACAATTACCTTTTCTCTGTTATGCTTTATTTACAAAATATACAACCACTTTTTTGTTCCTTTCTTTTTTTAAATGTACTAGCTCTCAATCAAATGCCAAAAAGTGATGTTTACAAAGACTACGATACCCAGAAACCAACGGGCTGGTTACGGCTCTACGTGCGTGCCCTCGTAGGGGAGCAGACACTGCACTGTGCTATCGAGAAGCCGGCCTCGGTGTTGGTTAGAGGTAAGTTTTTATTACTTAATTTTAATAAACAGTCTTGTGGTATAGTGAATGGAAACATGTGCGCAAACAAAACGCGCTAGTTAGGTCTGACATTTGAACAAATATGAGGAGGTATAAGTAGTTCAATTGACTGGTGCTACCCGGTTAAGGGCTAGCGTCGGACACGCCTATGTAGGGTTGCTGCTTCGGGGTTCAGAGTTGTGTGCGCGGGCCCGGAGCGGTGAAGGAGACGGGTATTTTTAGCACCAGGGGAAGAGGCCAAAGACAGCCAGCCAATAATCTAACGCCTGGATATATAATGTATCTGACGTCTAACATTAGCGGACGGGGACACATGCTAAGTATATGAACTGTCCTCGCTAGCACAGGCTTAGTCAATGTTAGCAAACAAAACTGCCCACAAGCTAGTTGAAGCTAGTTAGCTTAACTAGCCATAACGCTACAAGAGCTTTTCCATGAGTACACATTTTAAATAGGCTGATTTACACTAGCCTTGGGTATTTTTAAGCATACATATAAGGATGTATGACCCGTTGGTATGTATGGTATGTTGTTTTGACTCATTTTCAGAGCTCTCAGAGTGTTCCTGACAACAGTGTATCGTTATGTTGAAGCACATGACTGCTGTCAGTGTCACCCAAGCCCACAACCAGTGCGGCTTGTCTGGCAAAACTCCGCTGGTTAATGTAGTTTACAGGTTTATGTTTTGTGGTGTGGAGAATTTGATGGTGAACGTGTTTTGTTGTTTGTTTGTTTCTTGTTTTATACTGTGGCATGAAGGAAGCAGTGACTTCTTACAGAAAACAAGTAAATCAAGTTTTATTTCAAGCTGAGATAAATGTATGTGATTTCAGTCTGTTAATGCATTAATATCAACATGGCTTCATGTCAATTACTTGCTTTGAATTTAATGTGTTGTAATGTAACTCTATTAACATTGTATTTAAGTAAAAAATGTTTTCTAATCATAAAAGGCTATTGTCTGATATTAAGAGGTATCTATTGCAGAAATTGAATCTACAATCCATAGCTATCTTGTGTATAATCATCTGAAAAGGTCGTATAATGGTATGCATAATACAAAAAAGTGTTAATTGAGTATGTGGAAAAATAGACAGTTTAGTACTTCAAAAAAGTAATGGTTTAGTATATCTAAAAATGTCTTAGTAAAGAAAAATCAAAGTATAGTAAGTTGGGAAAAAAAGTCATAGTATGGTAGTTCATCTTGTTTATATTTCACATTAAGCCCAATGTAGTTCTCTGACACGCCGAGGCAAAGCCAGTCGCCGCTGTATTTCTTTCCTCCTAAAGTAGTGTTATAGTAAGAATGGATAGAGCAGGGCGTGAGCAGAATGGTATTCAGTTGGTTGAAATCAGCAGCCATTACGCTAGATGCTTCCGAATCCTTCAAGCTGTCCCTTTGATAGAATCTTTACTTTTTATAATTGGGGTAGACAAAATATAAAATAAAAATAAACTGTCACACTTCCACTAGCTTTGAATAACAATAAAAGTTGTAATCAAAATATATGTATTTTGCATTGTGCCTTTTTAATTACTCAAATACACTTACATGAATACATTTCATACAAGCATACCACAAACATGCATAGAGGGATAAAATAAAACACAAGATACAAGGAAATTAGCCGTAGCGCATGAACCAAATCATTTTGAATACTGTCTTGACAGAATAAGGAGGCTCTCTGACCAGCTGCCTCTCCATGTTCCCAGTGTGTGTTGCAGGGTGATTCAGGATGGTGGACCAGCCTCTTTGGGAGCAGATAGGATCCAGCTTTGTGCAGCACTACTACCAGATGTTTGACTCTGACAGATCACAACTCGGATCCATATATGTGAGTGTCACAGAACCTTGCTTTCATTCAGTTACAAGACGTCTCATGATTCAACTTTTTCGATTTCTAAATTCAACAAATACCTTTTTATAAGATTGCTGGTACCTCCCTCCTTTACTAGTTGCACATATCTAGTTGAAGGCAGCGTCTGCTTACATGGGAGTGTGGTCTGTTTGGACTCGCTTGATCAATAATGAATCATCATTAACAATATATCTGACACAAAATCTATGAATGTTATTTTGTTTTTAATAGTTTTCTTGGGGGTGGGTTGCTGTGTGTTTCCAGTGTTGCTGCTTTCATTGGATTAATCAGTGTTGTGTATAATATTGTACAATCACAGATACATGATGGCAGATCTTTTAATCTGTAAAGTAAACTTAATCTCAGCGGTCTAGACTTTGTAATGGGCATTTGAAATTATTGGTTTATTATAATGTAAAAACTGTGATTTTAGACCTTATCATTGAATCTTCAAATCTTTTGTTTATGATGGTAATTGTTAGATTGTTGGCCCTAAAGGGAATACATTTGGAATCATACATTAAATTGTGTCTACTTATTGACTTTTCTTTTTTTCTTTATTTGGCTGATGCCTAAATAAATACATAGACCTACTACTTTAGAGGAGTTAGTTTGGGCAGGAGCACAAGTCATGTAAAAATAAAACCATTTAACAGCAATGAATTAGTCACAGGGGTGTAACGGTACACATAAGTCACGGTCCGGTTAAGGACTCACGGTTTGGCACACCGGGCAAAAACACGCATTTGTAAGGATATGTTTCTTTTCATTTACTATAAACAGACAGTAATGCATGTATCAAATACAGAAACAATTCTCTTTCTGGGGACCGAGTCTGCATTTTGACGACTGACATATTTGGTAAAAGAGAAATGTTTAAATTATAAAAATAAAGAACATTTAAAACACTTCTTTATTACTCTGTACGAACAGTGAACAAACACTTCAGCAGAAGGCCACAGGTCACACTGGACTAGGACACTGAAAAACATCTCTTATGCTATGACATGGAAAATACAAACTAAAACTTGACTTGAACACAATTCTCTCTGCGTCGTTGTTCTTGCTGACCACGAATTGTGTACACTAGTGTCATTTACTCACAGCCCAGACAGCTTTCTGTGCTAACCTTAACACCTGTTGCCTTCAGCGTACAGCTAGTATTGAATCCATTTTAGAACAATGTTTTTTTAGCTTTACTTGTGTATAAGTAGGTTGTAGGTCACACCAGGAAATTATACTTTCTGTATTTTAACTCAGTTTTACGCATCAAATAATCATCATAATCAATTAGATCTGTTAGCTACAGTGTAACTAAGGAAAATGATACAATGTAGTCGTTGAGTGTCATAAGTCCCATGTAAAAAATCCTTCTGACTCTCAAAACGACATAACTTCATTTCAAACAGATGGAACTTTGAGCTAAGCTAATATCATTAGAGTTGTGTTATGTGACTTTTTTGGAAGCCCTTTCATCTGTAAATAGAATAGTGTGCAACTCATATTTCACCCATTTCTTTCTTGATCTATTTATCTTTGTCTCTTCACACAGATTGATGCATCATGCCTCACATGGGAAGGACAGCAGTTCCAAGGAAAAAGAGCGATTGTTGAAAAGCTCACTGTGAGTCTATAACTTAAGCTATATACAGAGTTGTTGTGTAACAGGTGGTGTTTGGCCTAAGTACGAAACACACTGGTGAATGAGTGGTGCATGAATGAGTCCTTAAAGCTAGAAAAGGGTTAGCATTTTACCACTTCTGCTTTCCTCGTCTCGAAGCCAAAACTATTTTTAGTTTGACCTCGGAAATAAGATCTGTGGTTAACAAAAGCATAAGGGATTTTCAATTTTGTTCTACGACATACAATCTGTCAGTAAATACACCACTTGTGAATGTCCGAAGCTTCTACAGTATGTGTCATTAAAACAGAGGCTGCTAACAAATGACACATCATCACGCTAAACATTAGCCGCCTTTAGCTTAGCGTCGGTGATGCAAAGCCATGTGACTGTAATGCAGTTCCTATATAGCCTAGCTTTTTACTTGTACTTTTAAGCTTCCAACATGTATACAATTGGTGTTAAAGGTCCCATGTCATGCTTTAACGGTTATTACCCGTCCCCTTAAGAGTACACAAATGACATCACCCATCTCTTAAGAGAGCTAAAGGTGACCTGTGCAGCAACACACTTCAATAAATATTTGTCAATACAAAGAGCCGCTAGATTGTGCTTCTGTAATGGAATATGTATGCAAGGAGAATAAAAACATACCATGTGGTCCAGCTGGAGTTTCATCTGCCTCCTGATCCCTGCCTCTGTCTCACTTCATCTTTATTCCTCACATACATTTCTTCTTCTTCACTAATGTCTTCATCTCCTCCTGGCTTTCTCCTGCTCTGACCCTCCTGGTCTCTTCAGTGTACTCTCTTTTCCTTCTCCTCTTTCTGTTCGTCCTTCTCAGATGTCTTTTTTGTTGTTGAATCACTCCAGCTACTCTGGCCTGCAAGAGTCTACTTGTGAAAAGCACTGGTACAAATGCGTGTATAACTTTACACGTTAGGGCCAAGTAGCTAATAAGTAGCATATAATAAATATAAAATCAGAAAGTATTTATCAAATGCACACTGGCAGCTGTATTTAGATCCAGTTTTACGGTAAAGGATGTATCCTGGTTTCATTTATCAGCCTCATTGCTGTGATGTGTAATTTACATGGATTTAATAGTACGCATAGTTTAGCAAATAAAGTGATCGATCTCCCAGCTAACGCTGTCTGCGTAGTATTTTGTAACGAAACGTCCCAAACAGCGCACGTCTGTTAAGCGCTATCGATTGAAACGGCAGCGCTTTACTAATATTTTGTTTTAAGCTCTTGTCCTTAGTAAAAACAAAACTAGTGGAAAGGGAAATGCTCCCAGGGGAAGCTGATCCACCTTCAGGTGCTGGGACAGCTCGTTCCCTCTCTGCAGCAGTGTGAGCCGCGGTCTGTGAACGTCGCTCCACAGTTTAATGCAGGGCCGTAGCTGCGTTTTTAACGGGCCTAAGATGATATTTAAAATGATTCACTTTTAATTAATGTACTGCTTGTTTTGTTGCTTGTGGACATAGTGTAGGTTTGTTTCTACAAGTACAGTTTAGGGACACAAAAGTTAGGGGGGCCTGGGGGGGCAAGGCTCTACAGTGGGGGGGCAGCTGCCCCCTTAGATCCGCCCTTGGTCAGCCGCTAACTTTACATGCACTCAAGAAAGCAGGTTGTAGGTAATTTTATTATATTTTGTATTTATTTGAGTGAATACATTATTCACAGTGTAATAATAATAAAATAAAATAAAAATATATTATATTTTGTGATAATTTTTTCTGCTGTACCGAACCGTGACCTAAAAACCGAGGTACGTACCGAACCGAAATGTTTGTGAACCGTTACACCCCTAGTAAGTACCTGTGAAAGGTGCTATAATAAATAAACATATTATTATTATTATTATTATAATTGCCATGTAAACATACAGGAGCCAAGTAATGGTAAACCGATTCCTCCCCAAACTATTTAGGGTTGTTAAACCCCTAAGTACAATTTTACTGAGGATAATACTTGTTTTTCTTATATTTTATAAATACATTTTGATGAAAATAGCTCAAGATCTTAAGTAAATGTTTTGACTCCTATATTTTTGTGTGTTTTTCCTGTGTGTGCCAGGGTCTACCCTTCACAAAAATAGCGCATAGTATAACAGCGCAGGACCACCAGCCAACTCCAGACTGCTGCATCTTGAGTATGGTTGTAGGACAGCTAAAAGTAAGTAGCACTATCCTTTATACCTTATTTTAAAGCATGTTAAGCATGTCATTTGTTTCGCAATTTAATAATCACACATTGAATGCTAGGGAATGTATGTTTTCATTTTTGTACCTGTGTTCCAATTATTTCTGTTACCATACTATCAAACAGACAAACTATGAAGGTTCCATTAAGAGAATACTCCCCTTTTTCCACATATTAGGTAGTACTCCCCAACCCCTTTACACAATTTGAATATGTGACCCGTGCTATTGAAATCCTTCGAGATTTATGAGAAAAACTCATTTTTTGATCAGTTTAGGTTGTGGTTGATTCTAAACAAACAAAGTCTTGGCTTTCAGAATATCACATTTGTATTGTAATATTCAGACGATAAATATATAGTGTTGAGGCTTGTTAAGTTTTGTCAACTTGTCAAGGATCACATCTCCTCTCAGTCTGATCAGCACCGCTTCCCTCCCTCTCTACCTCTTCCCCCTACGTCACCCTGAAGTAAGGAATGACAGGCTGATAGTAACACGACAGGGCCCAGGACAGTGGCTATTGGCCTTAAGAATATAAAAAATGAGTTGAAGCTTGTGAAGGTACAATAACGAGCGCTGAACGGGGCATCTTAGGCTAGAGCCACACGAGGACGAATTACGCAAACGGACCGAAATCGATATCAAAAAAGTATTCCGCTCGAAAGCGCTGGAGACGCTGTAGTACAGGGATGGGCAACTTTGATGATGGTGGGGCCAAATAATTTATGTACTGGCCACCAGGGGGCCGCAGAGTCACTTGGAACACACAAAAACACAAATTCCATGTATTGTATGTAATTATTAACAAATATACTAAGTCTGACATCTTCATTGATATTTTTCGATCTTTAAGGGAACATCCTGTAATAAGCTCACACAACAAACATCAGTTCACAGAAATGTTATTTAATTTTTACAAGTGGCATGTTTGTATTGAACAGGTTATTTAACAGTGGAATACAACTTTTAAACTATTGGATAGTGTGCATTAAGATTAAACAGTAACATGACATAAACATGAAGTCAGACCCCCCCTCTCAGACCTAACCCCCCCTCTCATCCACAGCAGACAGCTGCGCTCACAGCTGCTCAGCCCAGCTGCACACCTGGGGCCTCGGGAAGTGGCGGGCGAGAATAAACCCTGCTCTAACACTAACCCAGACATTAGTTGTCTAACTGGAATTTAAGAGACTTGTAGCCTGTCTCTGCTGACTTACAGTAAGGGGAATGTCAACATCGATGCCAGTGCATCCAAGCTGCATCAGATGAAACAGTATTTCGTCTTTTGATTTGATGTGCTTCATCATGGAGAAATTGCTCTCACATATGTATGTGCTCCCGAACATGCTGGTCTGTTTAAGCGCAAAATCTCTCAAGAGAGGGAAGCGAGTCTCGGGCAACAGTCTCCAAAATGACATTCCCCTCATTCCGTTTCATTTGGAAAAAGAAGTCGCCTTGTAGCTCGCACAGTTCCATTTGTAGTTCAGGTGGCTGGTCATGCACAACCGCTGAGATGGGGTCAGTGAAAAGCTGGATTGTGCCTCGCATGTCGTGGAAATCCTGAAAGCGATTGTTGAATTGATCCTGCAACATTTTAAGGGCTTCTCTGTAGCGGTGGATCGTCATCTCACATTCGGCCAATTCGGGGATGTCATTGCGCAGCTCTCCACATGCGGGGAAGTGTGTCAAATTTGCGGGATCTGACGCAAGGTTATCTCTGAACAGGCCGAGTTTCATCTGAAAACTATTCACATTCCTTGCATTAATGGAGCCCCATCAGTAACAATGGCAGATAGCTTGTCAAATCCACCATATTCGCTGACAACACCCTTCACTGCGTCGAAAATGTCCGATCCCTTTGTTGTGCCGTGCAGTGTTACAAGTTTTAATAGTTCCTTGTGTACATCAAATGACACATTTATTGATCTTGCGTACACCAGTAGCTGGCTAACATCGGTAACGTCTGTACTCTCATCTAACGCTAACGAAAAGCATGAACAGTCAGACATGATTTGTTTCAGCTTTCCCTCCACATGACTTTGAATGTCAAAAATCCTGCGAGTCACTGTGCGTCGGGAGAGGCACACCGTTTCAAAATGTTTAGCCATTTTTTCATCTCCAAAGGCGTTAGCTATCTCAATCGCGCATGTTTTCACCAACTCTCCTTCTGATAGTGGCTTCTTTGCTTTGGCAAGCTGGAGTGAGACAGCATATGATGCTTTCAGACTTGATTCTTGGACACTTGTGACCTGGGTGAAAAAGCACTGTTGTTTTTGTACTTTCCCTTTCAGGTCCGCTAGGATCGCTGCTCTGCCGGCCCCTGTGTACCTGTCCTTGTGTGAAGTGTTGTAGTGGCGGCTCAAGTTGCTTACTTTCATGACAGCAACGGTCTGCAAACATGTTAAACATTGTAGTTTACCCCTGAATTCAGTGAAAAGATACTCTTTCTGCCACTTTTCTTGGAAAACACGATTTTCATGTCGGCCTCGTGTGTCCGAACCATCTATCTGATAGAGAACTGTAGCAGATACGACCATTATCGTCCTCGTGTGGCTGGGGCCTTAGAGGCAGAGTCATTACAACAGGCGATGTGTGTTTTGTGTGTGTGGAAATACACACACACACACTCACTCAAGCACACTTACACACTCACACAAAAATACACACTCAAGTTACTAAAAATCCTCTTCATAATGGAAAGACTCGAAAGCTCATGCCATAACATGCTTGTCCTCAAGGATGCTCACAATGTGTTTGCCTACAAGAGGAACGCACAGGATAACCATTAGGGCTGCTCAATCTTTGCAAAAATCCTAAATATGATAATTGACTATATTTACCATAATGACTCATTGACTTTATAAACATCTTGTATTTAGAAATAACTTTTTGTTTATCTCTAAGTGGTTGACCAATCACAACAGAGCCGGGCTGATAACGAGCCAGACTAGGCTCTGGTTTCAGACAGAGGGTGAAAAGAGGTGCTGCAGCAGTAGACAGTAGAGGCACAAAATACAAATATGAACCTGAAAATGAGCATGATGGGGCCCCTTTAACACGATCTGCTGCTAAATACAATCACTGTATTGCTGACTTTGTTCTGAACCCTGACTATTTCTGTTTGTGTGTGTGTTTGCAGGCAGATGACGACCCCATCATGGGTTTCCACCAGAGTTTCATCCTGAAGAACATTAACGACGCGTGGGTGTGCACCAATGACATGTTCAGGCTGGCCATTCACAACTTTGGATAACTCCCCCTTCTCCACTCTGGTGGGCAGGGGCGGCCATAGTGAAGGGCATCACGTGATGAAGTACGGAGGGAGGGGAAGGGAGAGAGGAAGAGGGAACACTCGTCCCTCCCTCCTGCTCTCTCATTTACGCCTGCTTGACAAAACAAGCAAACACCGGATTCTAGATGTCAATCACTGAACCTCATCCAGGTGGTTTCTTTTTCAGACCACCACAGCCAGTAGAACTGCGACGCGTTTCTTTGCTCAGAGCCGGCGAACCAATCAGATGCCCCTGTCTGCCACTCCGCTGATCTGCATGGCCCTGGGAGCACCCCATTACAATATCCAATATCCAGATGACCTCCATTCATGCCCTGCTCTCCACCCTTCTTTACTAAATCCTTCCCAACTCTACTGTTGACTGCACTCAGTTCTGTTAGCACTGTCATTGATCGGGTTGGAAATCCGTGTTCAGGTTCATCAGTTCTTGTGTTTTAAGTTGTTTTTAGATCCTACTTGTATGTTGCCTCATTGTGTTTAACTTCCAATTATTAACTTTGCCATGAGTCGCTGTCATGCCAGGTTTTGCTCTTGCAAACCAAAGAAACATGGAGGACATAAAGTCTCACCATGCTGTGTGATTGGCTCCTGCATTTTCCCTCTTTTTCTCCATCTCTCTTGCTCTCTCTGTCTCTCACACGTCTGGCATTTAACATGGACAACAGCCGCCATAGACAATAAAACCTGGACTTTTTTCTTAACGGTGTCTCTTCATATCATTCTCTACAGCTGATTGATTTCCAAATCTTTCACTTACCCCTCCACAGTAAGTCTTATTGAAAGTATTTAAAGCTGGAGAAGGCAGTATATTTATGCCTCACACTGGGCAAGAATTGCAAAATGACCTTTTGGAATATTGTAATCCAAGTAGCCAGAGACAAAAGGAGACTTTAGCAAATCGTAACAAGAGAATTTAGCCAATCAAAGAATCACAAATAAACTGCCTCCCCCAGCTTTGAATGCATCTGGTTTTGGCTTTTTGCAAATGAGTCACCTTACTCCAGAGGATCAGCTGGACAATTGACAATTTCTCATTTGTATCTATTGTGATCCAATTGACTGAAATGTTCAAATAAATGCCAAATCGTAATTATGTAGATACTGACCTTATTAAGTGGACCGTGTGTCGGACAGATGTGACCAGGCCACCTAACTACAATTTGTCAACGTTGTTATAAAAGTCACTCTATTACCCAGGCATGAGTTGCATTCATAGTCATGACTCCGTGTTGCCTTACATTGTAAATGAAACAAATGAGTTTCATAGAATGAAGTACACAGATTTGAAACTTGAGAATACAATAGCTTTAATTATAGATCTGTGCTCCGTATTACAAGATGCCATGAGTCACTGTTTCAGGCAAAAATAACTGGCTGCATGATTTGTTAAAAATATCTAATTGCGATCATTCTGACTGATATTGCATATGCGATACACAAAGTTTGAGGAAATGATAATTATTGTACCATTATTCTCATTTTCCTTGCGAAAGTCTCAAGAATAAAACTATAAGTTTACAGAATGTGATGCACCACTTCAATACTCGGAATAATACAGAAATGGTATATCTTGCTTTAACCAATATTGCGCTTCTTGCAATTATGATATTGCACTAGCCCATATTGCGGCATCTGTGAAATCGCAGACCTAGAAAAAACACTGGATGGTTAATCCCTATAGTCAAGGGTAGCTGTAACCCAATATTCTATAAGGTGCTACTAGGGTTTGTCCCCTACAACGGTTGACACCGTACAGCCAATACGAAAGTATTCAAAGTCAAAACTGGCTGACATTTGACGTACAAATTTGTAACATCAACTAAACGGCGTACAACTATTTTCCAAGAAGGAACTCCGAATATAAATTAAAATACTGTAAATACCAGCAATCAAAGCACATAATATCTTACTAACTGGAACATTTAAAAAGGAGAAAAGTCAGTGTTTTATTAGCTGCCTCAAAGCATTCAGGATTTGGAGAGGATCTTCAGAGAGGAGTGGACCACAATACCTCCTGAAATGTTCAGCGTCTGACCTCTGTACTGTCCAACAAGGGCTTCTCCACCAAGTACTAACGCATGTTTTGCAAGGGGATCAAATACTTATTTCCCACAGTTAAATGCAAATCAATTTTTATTTTTTATATAATGTCTATTTCTGGATTTTCTTTTTTATATTCTTACTCTCACTGTTAAAATAAACCTACCATTACAATTATAGACTGTTCATTTCTTTGTAAGTGGGGAAACTTACTAAATCTGCAAGGGATCAATACTTATTTCCTCCACTGTATAATGTAATCAGGACACAAAAAAAAGGTAACTGTATTCCCTTACAGTTACATTAAATAATGTAATCAGATTGCTGTTACATTTTTTGGGTTACGCGTAACTAGTAATTGTGACATATATCAATTTGAATGTCTCCTCAACCCTGACCATTGTATACAAATGTATGAAACACCATATAATAAATGTATTAGATAACAATGCATAACTCTCCTGAACAGGTCAAGAGAAGAAGCTATCAAAGTTGAAGACAATGTCCAGATCCTTGAAGAAATCTAAGAGTATGTCACAGTTTAGGAATGGTGGCTTGTTGTGTTGCTGTCTGTTAATCTGAAGCATCATCCAGTGGAGAAGACTTTAATTAAATGTATTATGCCAACAGATTTCCTGTAACTGTATTAGGTTAGTTTAAAGTAATACTATTACATTTGAATACAAAATATTACGTTCAATTTAATATTATTTCTTTCAACTAACCTCATACAGGAGTTTATACCTCATGACAAACCAAATTCAATAATGGGAATAACATGTTCAGGGTTAACACAAGTGCAGTAACTCAAGTATTGATGCACATTTACTTCTACTAAATTTCATTTCAATAGGAAATACTGCACTTGTTTTTACTTCTCTTCTCTATGACTGTTTTTTTCGGGGGGGTTTCTGCATTGGTTGCTTTTACGTTTGTTGGTTTTCCAATGAACAGAAAACCATACCGTTTTTATTTTTTAAGTGGTATTAGTTTCTTTGGGAGGGGTGGTTATCTATTATGCATTGACTTTGAGGACCCCTGTCTGCTATATGGTTGGTCATTCTGGTAAGTCAAACCACGTCTATATACAGTTAAAAATGTATGCATACAACATTCACGTCGAAAGAGACAGAGTGTGACAGATTTTTGGAAGAAAGCCAGTATCCTCTTGTGTACAATAAACCTAAAGAAGTTGAGGTAGGAACCAATGACCTGACGCAGACCCGAGTCGGAGCGTAAGGCGCGGACATAACGGAAGTTTAGACGGTTGCTCTGGGTGAACGAAAGGAACACTGACAGCATCGTATCAAAAACGAAATTATCATCTCTCCCTAAATTAACCCAGTTTCCCCTTTCCCTTACACATGGCGTCCAATTCTAATATAGATATTGAGGGTGCAACCCAGCATCTCCGGGACATTCTAAAGCTCGACCGTCCCGGGAACAGCACCGGTAAGTGGCACCGGGAATGAAAAGCGGCTGAGCTGGTTTAGGCCGCAGAAGCTAATGGAATGCTAAACAGCTAGCTAGCTAAGAGCTAAATTGGTACTTAGCTAGCGTGAGTTGAGTTTAGCGCGCTACTATGGAGTAAAGTTAGTCAAGCAGCAGTTTCACTACCCGGTAACGAAAGCAACCCCATCATGTGAAATCTACATTTTGGTGTAAATAAAATAACACATGCATTGTATTACTAATTTACGGAGAGAAAATAATATGCCCAGGCTTTTTGCGTGATGTTAGAGCGCTAACTGCGGCGGAAATGTCCCAAGTATTTTATCGTCCCAAGTATTAGCTTTGTACCGAGCTAGCTTATGTCCCTATCTATTTTCTGGTGTAGGAAAGCTGTCTCTTTTGCTTTCCAAGTGGCGAAAAAGTAAAACGTCTTTCTTTAATCGAAAATATATGTGTAACACTTTGTCAATTTGTGACTGAAAAGCCGTAAACTGAGGTGTAACGTTATGTTTAAGACCGCATTGTTTAGCCAGAATTATTTCACTGCTAACGTAATCAAGAATTAGCTTAAGCTCCAACTGCGTAGAAGGTCGGTTATTTGGCAAATTTGAATACACTCGTTGATTTAAGGTTTGTTTGTGGTACCCGCAGCCCAGTAATATTTGGTTGTTTAGAAGCTCACTCCTGTCTGAAGACACTACTTGATTTTTGGAGGGTGAATAGCAAATAAACAGGTTTGCTAAGGTGTAAACGGTATGCTGCGGGTCTACTAATGTTGTATCTGTTTGGCAAAATACACAATATTCACATAGCTACACCTAATGTTTTAGTCTTCGCAGGAGCAGCAACGATTCACACTTAGAACATATACAAAATACTATTATTTTCTCGTGACTAAAGGAAACTTTTATTATGCAGATGATTTAGTCAGACAGCAAATGTCTATTTCTTGATGCCTATATATCTGTTTCACAGCAGACACTTTGATTTGTCATTACAGGTGAAATTGATTACAGTAATCATGGCTGTTTAACTGTATTGTAGCCCAGAAAGTAATGGCTGTGAGCCAGCATACACATTAGCAGGGCTTATTATTATTAATGGTAAAAGCCCCCTGCAGTTTTCCTGATCTAAAGTTTAAAAATATGTATGAAAAATTAATTGTGCTACATAAAGACGGCTACGGTGTTCTTAATATAGTTCGCTATCTGTGTACTTTTTTAAATGTTATGTATGCACCATGACATTAAAGGTAGGGTAGGTAATTTTGGAGAAACCAGCTCGAGTGAGCTAGAATTTGAAAATACACAACCGGAACAAATCTGCCACTTCCTTACAGAGCCCCTCCTCCAACACACACGAACGCGCACGAGATAAGTTTGTGCACAGATGGAAGGCTGACAGGCAGGTAGGCCATCCAGTTATTTTAGCCGGGCGGCTAAAATGATTGGTCGTGCTTTTTACAGCGCCACGGCTTCCACAGATGACATTTTTTAATGGATTTGTTGTCAAAGCACTTTAGATATTCATTGCTATCGGGATGTTAAGAGCATTCCATGGAATATAACAACAAGTGTATCTCGAGCCGGTTTCTCAAACGTACCTACCCCACCTTTAAGTCAAATTCCTCTTACGTGTAAATATTTAAATATATTCAATAAAAAAGTGCTAAACAATGTAACAACACTACACACATTATGAAGTTATGTAATTAGGATACAGATTATGCTTTATTTTTTATATCCTTGTGTATAACAGAACCACTTTTAAATTTGAATGAAAGTACATTTCCCTGGAATATTTATATAATCTGTATCATACTTTACAAATAAAATGAAGTTTAAAATTCTGACTTTAACGAGCACAACTACAGTATAGTTCAAATGCACATTTCTTTAAACTCCAAAAGTTCAATTTTATTGCTTTTAAAATGACTTGAATATGTTTTATGAATCCGTATAATGTGAGTTTATTTGTTATTATCATCCACTTTATGGGCTCAGAACAGTCTCATAATACACACATGCACACAGAAGGATTCACACTTGTATTTCCGGATCCATACTTGTGTTTTTCAATGCACACACAAATGTATTCCGTTTCATATACATGTAAATAAAATCCAAATACAAAAAAAAGTTTTACATATGTATTTTTGATCGTCACATATTAGTTTTCCGTTTAAATCCCCTGAACCTGCAAACACAAACAGCTTTCTGTGCACGGATCGCTTTGCATTCGTGTGTGGGTTTTTTGAGACTCCCCTGACGGTCAGCCGATTCGTACTTGTAATTTTTTCTATCTATAGCCAATCAGATGTCTCCTCAATTCTAAGCCAATCACATGAGCGCGCCCCCACGAGGGTAAGATTACTTCATATACGCATTTTGCGCAGTCCGGTCAGCTAGCTAAACAGAGGGCGGAGCATCAGGTGATCATGCAGAGCAGCGTGTCTCCGTCAGACTCAGCAGCTGATCTGATCTCTCTCTTGCGTCCGGTTATACTTCACTCGCGTGTATGTCCATATCGATCAGATCCAGCTCTCCTGATCGGCCTTTATAGAGAGCACCGATCAAACTATTAAGAGTGAATATCGGC